TCCCAACCTGTAGATTAGCCAAAAAACATATGGCCATGTATGCAAATTAATCTTATTTTCCCCTGCTGCACCGCGGAGAAACAGTCTTTCCAAAAAATAAGCATATCGTTAGAATCGCTATATTTTACCCTACCAAACGATTTCTAGAAGTCTGAAGAAAGAGCTCGATTCTGCGAGAAATATTCGCGCGTGAAACACAAATGTTTTCTTCCCGCTGGAGCGTAATTAAGAGACTATTTCATAAATAGCCATGTAAGGATTTAGGCAGAGATCTGAGCTTTCGAATGATTGCTAACGCTCTTATGAAAAGTTCTTGTCCAGCGAAAGGTTTTGGTTTCTCGTTTGTCGCCTTCTTACATAAGAGAACCGATTTACTACTAAAAACAAAGTGTTTTTACCAACCAAGTCTCGTTGGACATGAGAGCTGCTCCCGAAATCCGTGAAAAAACTCATTGTCATCTAAAGAAAAATGAAGTTACTTACAACTACATGACCTATAAATTATAGAAAAATCATTTTAAAAAAGCGCAAAAAGGACTCACATGGCAGGCTGTCGTTACATGGTTGTGAGCTTTGGGTCTGAAAACCTCAGCTTTCACTTTTTAAGGCGATAAAGTACTAAGTAACTTCTTTCATACCTCTCCAGCCGCTTCCACTTTGACCACTGCATCGCTGACGTCATCATCGTACACTTCTGTAGAATTCCGAATCATTCAAAAAGAAAATTTTTCTACTAGACCTTTACGCTACAGCGTGTACCGTATTCGATTTACACGTGCTCCTTCGAACGGCTTACGAGAATTGGCTCAATCCCATAAAAAATCATTTACTTGTCAGATTTAGGTCTAAAAGAGACTTAAAAAGTCACAATGAAGTCATATGGAAATGTACGAACTCGACGAGTTACCAAAAATCGTCTGGGGAAATTCCACACTTCGCAGCCGTCCGAGCAGCCCCCCCCCCCCCCTCCCCTTCCCCCAGCCGGAAACGGTCGCCGTAGCAAAAGAGTTTATTCAGAAAAAAAGCATCCAACAACAGAAAATGTCACCTAAACGTAAAGGCCGTTATCTACTAACCGGAGTTCGTCGTTGGAGTGTCACTGCCGCTTCCGCCATGTATAGGACAGGCTTTTCTTGCTTCGTATCGCCTTCTTTTATAGTCGTCTAACCAAGCACAACTCGATGCCAGCAGAGCTAAGGTCTTCCCTGAAAAGAAGCGATCAGAAGTAGATTTTAAAATAGGAGACGCTTTATGAAGTGTAGAATTCAAACAGAAAGAAAGATCGTACCACTTCCAGTAGGACTTTCGGCCAATAAATTCAACTTTTTGGTGAGCGCCATGATGATTCGCACCATCATTAACTTCTGTGAGGAATAGAGTCGTAGACCAGGTGGAAGGCGAACTTCAATACCGCTGATAGGCATTCGTTCAAAATGAGAATTATCAACGGCAACGGCCACCTGTTCTCTGCAAGACTGGATATCCCAGAAAACTTTATTATTCCTTCAGAACAAGGCATAATACCTACGACATCTGAGAGACAAACCGTCGTCGTTTCTTCGATTTATTGAACGGCGTCGCCCTCGAATCAAAAGACGTCGACGTGAGGGTTTCCGTATCGTCCCGCACCTCTCCTCCCCCTGAGAAGCTGCGCTGAGTCTCTAAAATGAATAATACAATTATATGTAACAATACCCTCCAGTGCAGTATTTTTGAGACATCGCTAAGAGACTCAATAGCCTGCCAGAATGTTTTGTGCCTCCCATGAGGTTTGATATAGCACCTCTGGTGCTAGAGGCACGTTTTGGCTTTCTAGCGAACCTCATCAGTAGCACGTGGCATTCGGCCGATCGTCCCTACTATTACTGGGAATTGTCGGCGAAGATGTATAACCGCACGTCAAGTGAAAAGATCACTTGATATGGCGCTCTTTTAGTGATTGATTGTTGACGCATGGCGTACGGATGTTACTGGCACTAGAGGTGCCATATGAGAGCTCAATAAAGCCTTAAAACATTTTATAAGACTACATTGAATCTTCAAACGAGGTTCCAAGAAGTCGATCGAAAGGTGTCACTACATATGCTTACGTAACAGCCGTACGCCATGCAACAGACAATCAATCACTGAATTAACGCCGTATCAAGTGATTTTCACTTGACTTACAGTGATACATCTTCGGCGACGATCCCTATCAACAATACGGACGATCCGAATAGCACGTGATACTGATGAGGCTTGCGAGAAGGCTGAATCGTACGTCTAAAACTGAAGATGCCATATCAAATTTCACGAAGGGCTCGAAACTTGCTTTTTTTAGACACTTCAATGATTCGTCTTCACACTTTTTTCCACTGCGCAGATCCCAGTACTTCTAGCATTCGAGTCGCTTTTTCGTCCTTCTCCTGAACATCGTAGAAAACTGGATGAACGAGCATCCAAGCAGTCCCGAGGATAGTCTGGCTGTGGCGTTCCATAAGGCGTTGTTGTTGTTGACTGCTTGAGAGGTTTGGGGGGATGGTGGTCAGTTTCACGCGGTGCCGCGATGAGCATCGCAACCACTCGGCTACGGCAAACATTCTATCAGAATAACTTATAAATTTCGAAGATCGATTTTTCTTTGCACTCGATGTTACCAATTTTTGATACTCCCATTCATATTTTAACTAAGACCACGAGGTTTATAAACGTTCGGCTGACTATCTACATTCTATTGCCTTTTCACCACACGTTTCCGGAACGAATAAAACGCGGGTTCGACTCCCACCCGAGGCTCGAAGTTTGGCATATCACTTAACATCTTCGCATATATTATCTTTCATTTTTCTATCCTTTCCTACCTACTACCTAAATTACAGAACAAAATAACAACTATATCTGCCACAGAATCTTGGTAATCCCCCAAAGCACCCTTTTGAAAAATTAACAACAAACTTTGAAAGACCCCAATATCATTGATGGTCACAAATCATTTAGGAAATGTCGCTTTAGGGTTATCACCAATTAGTTAATGTGTTTTATAACCCTACCCAATAGCTAAGTAGTGGATACCAAGAATTCTTCTTACTAATCGCAATAAACGGCATTGTCTTCAAGTTATAGTGATTAACTCTTTGGGTACCGCGTTGATTTCTCGCGTTGAACGCGGCGCGGCAATCAGTGATACATACGCGGCTCACGCGGTACCCAAAGGATTAGCATATAGCACAAAAGGGAGAACAAGAGACGTTCGCACCAAAGCCCTCAAAATCAGTCTCACTGCCGGTTTGTCGTCTGTTTCTATTTGCGGATCCTCGCTTGTTCCGATCTCGCAAGAACTTTTTCCAGTCGAATTTTTTCATGCTGCTGAAAGAACCACAAGATTTATTTCAATTTTCGTCAAAATTACGATAAAATCATAGCCTTAATAATGTGTGGATGCAATTGCGACGAGAAAAATTTCGAAAGATATCCAGAAGTTTGTTCAAAAAAAAATTCTAAACTTCAGATTCAATGCATTTTTTTTGTTGGAGGACAAAAGTGTTACACACAATCTCAAGTGGTTTACAACTGAGGGTTTATTATTACGACAATTAACACTTTTGGGTCCTACAAGGTCACGGCGCGATCGGCGCGATCGCCGCCTCGCCGCGCGCAGCGGCAAGCAATCCATTGTGCTGAGTGGTTAGCCCTTTCCGGACCGTGGACCCACCACCTCTCCATCTCTGACCTCAGCGTGGCAACGCTGGCGGTCTGCTCCACAGCCCTCGCATCTGACTCCCAGCGCGGGGAGCACTGAATGCATTATTGTATTATCTAGATCGTGTTGTTGTTGTTATTTTCTTGTGTTACTAATATGTAGATGTATGATGCTATTATAAGCAGGAATATAACAACATTACAATCAAAGTAATATAACAATACATTCAACGCGTTCCCACGGTGGGAGTTAGAGATGGAGAAGATCGTCCGGTGTTGCCACGCTGGCGGCTAGGAATGCAGAGGCGGGTCCCGGTCCCGAAAGGGTAAGCGATGCAGACCATCGCGTAAGTCGCCCGTTCGCCCTCCTACCGCGGCGCTTCACAGCCTTTTCATACTTTTCGGTGTCCACTTTTAATTGATGGTTCTTCTATTGACGTAATTATTGAAGCAAAAAAAAAACGCGCAGTTGTTAACAATTCATTACTTTTTAATACAAAATAGATTGATTTAAGAAGTGCGTCAATAGTGCAACGGGTTATAGCACGCTCTCGGATAGAGTGAAGTGTGGGTTCGAATCCCGGCTGAGGCAGTTTTGCACATCACTCTCAAATAAACGATCGTAATGAATAAATCGCTTGTGTTACGGTATCACGGTATAAAAAATATGATGTATTAGTGACTTGGTGAACTCAAAACAAAAAGAAACAGCTGTGAAGTGTCGTGGGAGGGTATGGAACCGGCAACCTTATTCCCGATGGCCAGCATCACTTAGCACTCGAGAGACGGACACTGGTGGCCGCGCGCGCGACGCCGCGCGGCGCAGGCTAGTGCCGTAGCAATGCAGTACCCAAAGTGTTGATCAGCAAAAAAGGCCATGGGTACAACCGGAAACGCGCCATCGACACGGTAATCGGTTCACTTTTGGGTATAAATCTGAATAAAAACACACCCAATAATATGGAGTGCTGTGCAAAACGAGCGTCGGTGGTGCAACGGTTAGCATACGCTTCCGGAAAGAGTGAGATCTGGGTTCGAATCCCAGCTGAGGCAAATGTTTTTGCATAGCACTCCATATTATTGGGTATATTACAAGATCATAGCACCGCAAGTGGCGGTCAAATAAAAAGAATTCTAATAAAAATACACTTTTGCTGGCCACCTGAGCTGGCTGACAGCGAAGAACAAAGAGGCGGAGGAAAGTACGAACGACTTGCTAACTGATATCCGGGTCGAATCAATTGAAGATCAACTCCATAAGTCTAGGAACAAGATTTATCTATTCGTAAGCATCGTATCGCGGAGTGGTTAGCAGATCAGCGGCCTCGGTAGTGCAGTGGTTCGCCTGCGCCTTCGGAAAGGGTGAGACGCAGGTTTAACCCCTGTCCAAGGTTCATAGTTTCGCATATCACTCAACATTCTTGGATACATTGTCCCAAACCTTAGGCTTTTAGATATTGACTGGTTTAATGAGCTCGTAAAATTATAGGTTTGGGTATAAGAACTGGTATAGATAAAATAAAATCCAGCTAGAGGAATCAGAGGAAAAGAGGAGAAGGGAAAGAGGAAAAGAGAAGAAAAGAAGAAAAGCAAAAGAGAAAAGAGGAAAAGAGGAGAAGGAAAAGAGAAGAAGAGAGGAAAAGAAGAAAAGAAAAAGAGAAAAGAGGAAAAGAGGAGAAGGAAAAGAGGAAAAAAGAGGAAAAGAAGAAAAGAAAAAGAGAAAAAAGGGAAAGACGAAAAGAAAAAGAGGAAAAGAAAGAGCCACCAACACACTATGTGGCTCTAGAGAGACGATTACAAACGTTCAGACGTTACACACCAAAAATCAATAAAATCAATAGAATACTAGCATAAAAGGCACTGTCAAACCTGGTGATCTACTCGTGCAGATCGGTAGATCACGCCCGACACCGAGAAAAACTTTCACTTGGAAGTACACTTCGGAAAATCAAGGTCATCAAGTTGAGACAAAATGGATCGAATTGGTAGATCATAAGGCTCGACACAAGGGGTACGGAGATCGGTTCCCCCCCGCCTCCCGCAAAAAAATTCCATATCAGTTTGAAACCGGTGATTCGCGGCTAATCACATGCGGGCCGACGGCGGCGCGGCTTGCTTGACGTGTCTTTAGGCTTTTCACCCTTTAATCAATGTGTATATAAATACTCGACTAAATGTAGCCACGTACTGACATGTCTGTTCCTGTGTAGCGTATGTCGTATATCCATGTGTATCCTCTGTTTATACACACGTATATGTGTATATATGCATATATACACTTGTATCCATATATCCACGAATATGTACATGTGTGTATGTAGCATGGATGTCACAGCTCAACTCAGTGATGTGTTGGATTTCAGTTGTGATCGGTACCAGTTATCGATTTATCGATCGATTATGTATGATTGTAAGAATATGATTTTGCGCAACGGTCTCTATTTTCCGCAGTTCGCCGCGATTTCTCTCGAACTATCGATCGATCCCTATCACTGGTTAGGTCCGAAGGCTCGAATCACTGGTCTGGACCATAAGTCTAGTGGTAGATCGCCACTTGTTAACTAAGGGGACAGAAAATTAATCGATAATCGCGTGATTTTCCTCGACTTTCCGCCTTGTCTCTTGAATTCTCGATCGATTCCTATCACTGATTAGGTCCGAAGGCTCGAATTCCTGGTCCAGACCGTCAGTCTACTGGTAGATCACCATTTCTCCATCAAGTAGACTCAAATCGGTAAACATAATAATTTGAAAATGTGGAGTAATTGTGCCCCCATTGATGATGAGCGATGTGCAAAACTTTGACATTAGGCGGACTCGAACCTGCACTTCACGTTTTCTGGGCGTGCTCTTACCCGTTACGCCAGCGGCGCCTGTTTTGCCACCACTCTTTCTGCGCCACGCTAAACTATTAGTAGTTGTAATGATTGTAGTGTTGGTGATAAGAACCACTGATAAGAGGCTAATCGATATCTGTCGCTTCCTCACATGTCTCGCCGTCCCTCCAACTGTTTGGGTGTTTTTCTCCCGAAACCGACCCCATCGCCGGCATCGGGCTTCGTCGTGAAAAATCAATAAATGGGCCTTTTTTTGGATTATCCAGCTGAACAGTCGAAGCTGAACAATCGAATAGTGTATCACCTGTCGTCCCGCTGATTGTCGACTGACTCGATCGGAAGCCAGTAGACCTTCCACTTTTCCCTTATCGCGCCAAAGAGTCACCCAGTGAGTGCCCTGCCCGCTGTGGGGATTTCTTGGGCACTAAATCTTTCCCTCAGGTCTTCTAGATTAAAATCGGACCATCAGGTTGATGGACCGCCTAAAAATCAATATTACTACGATATCGATTTAGTGTAAAGGCACCTAGGCCACGAGCGATTCATTATCACCGCTGGTGTATTGTCGTTCTCTTGCATGTTCTCTGATTGTGTTAAACTCCGTGAAAACGGGAACATATTCGATATGAATTCTCTATTTTATTGTATTTCAGCAGTATAATGGTAGTGTTGATTTACGCCCAAAAATGTTGGGTAATATGCAAAGCATCCGCCCTGGCCGGGAGTTGAACCCGCGACCCTGCTACTGGCGGCGAGTCGTGAGTTTAACTGCCCGCCTCATAGTCGGATATTTCACTTGACACTCTTAGTATCGTTTTCGTTTATAGTTAGTTGATACAACGAGGTTGACCTAAAAGTTGTATAGTAGTAATAATTTGGTGATAAATAATGTTAATTTTATAGCATGATTTTGGTGTCGTTCAATTGCGCATCATTTTGGTATACAGCTTGCCTATTCTTGCTCCAAGATGGAGCTGTCTTGGGAACAAACTCGCTTGCTAGTCATGCCCGAATGACGCTTGGGAAAAACTGCTAGTGAAGCAGCGCGCTAGATTGATGGAGCTTGGGGCGATGATACGACGGCGGAAAGGACAGCTAGGAAGTGGTTCGTGGAGTTCAAAGCTGCTGGAGATAACAGCCTGGAGGATCAGTCGCGCTCGAGCCATCCACAGGAAACTCTATTAGTCTTGCGCTCCGATTTCCTAACATTTTCCCTTACGCGCCATTCGGGCATGACTAGCAAGCGAGTTTGTTCCCACGACAGCTCCATCTCAAAGGTAGTGCCAAAAGTTTTGGAAAGACCTAATATTATCGATTGGTAATCTCAAGGTCAAAGGAGAGTTGGTCATGGAAATGAGGTATCAGTTTCGAAAAACCTAGAAGAACTGAGTGGTAGCAAAGATTCGACCTCAGGCTGGATTTGAACCCGCGCTTCACCTATTACAGAGGCCCGTGTTGCCACTACTCTGCCGAGGTCACCGCTTACCCACTACTCGTTTTTTAACATCTTATATCATAGCCATCAGCCACCAACCGGTAACAGGTTTGGTCGTGTGAGCGAGCACATATCGGTTTGTAGGGATGGCCTCAGAGGTGTAGTGGTAGCACGCGCTTCCGGAATTGATGAAACACGGGTTCAGCTCCCATCTGAGGTCGAATTTTTGCTCACCACTCAGTCTCTTAGGTAAATTTGAAACATCATGACACTGCGACTTGAACAGTCAAAATTTTCAGAAATCTTGAATATTATTTAGGTGAGAACAGTTTGAATTGGGCGTTTACTTTAGCTTTAGTTGTTTAACGTCGTGAATATGTCACGTGGCAAATGATTCTAGGTCTTTTTCCTGAGTCGATCGATCGCTGGATCATATGATCTGAGCGATATTCCCCTTGAAACTGATTTGTAGGAGCATGCAAGTGTAGCTGTTGATATCATCCTGGGAGAAATCTGTACGTTTCCGGTCAGACAGTGGTGGAATTCTTGGCTTTGTTCAGGCGTAAACTCATGTTTTCTTTTGTTTTTGTTGATGTTCACAAAAGCTGAACTGTTCCCATTTATCTCTAGAGGTGTTTCCTGAAGCGATGAATATGGTGATTTGACGCTCGTTCATTTTTCCCTTGAATTTGGCTCATCTGTCGGTTTCCATTGTATCCGAGAGCCTCCGGAACAGACTGTTTTTCGCATTCGTGCGGCCTGTAGTTTGCTATAATCTACTTAAAGGACAAATCCTATGTTGTTGACGAGGAGAGCACTGTTTGTTTTGGGAGTAAACTGTTGCAATAATACCAACACCGAGCGCGTATGAATGCACTGGTTGGAGATGGTCTATCACACAGACATGGCCCATCAGGCGGTGATCGATGGTTCGCCCCCGCGCTTGGGCTTCATTAAGTCTTCCATTCGTTTGGGGTGGGGAAGCGTTGCCAGACTCACCTGGGAGGACAGTGCCACTGACTTGATGTATCTGTAGGCCATCGCGAGTCATTGAAAAGGTCAGATATGCGCCTTAATTAGCTACAAGCGGTGCTTGACGAGAACGAATGCATGGGGGTTCCATCAGATATTCACTAACGGCGACAGTTTTGATGTCAATAACAATAATAATTAGTAATGATGGTCTCTATCGCCTATCGAGCGAGTTCCAGTACTTCGACTATATTCATTGTTCCTCATGTCATACGAAAAGCTCTTCGGATTTGTGTGTGAGTTCGTCTGTTTTCCAAAGCTTTCAGTTGCTTGTGAAGATTACTGATCACTGCTTAAGCAGGATTTTCTTTGGAGTCCTTGGAGTGGTCCCCTGGAGCGCTCTCCAGTCACGTACAGTCGCCATAACGAATATTGATCCCCCATTCAAGTTTAGTACCAGTCTGGTACCAGTCACGAATGATGGGTGTGGCTTTTCGATAGCCCTGGGCAGAGTGAAACTTGCCACCACATTTGTGTTATGTGAAACCTCTGACCACTCCGCTTCTCGATCTGCGATAATAATCGTCGTAACTATACCTTTATTTCGAGTGCTTTGTTTAGACCACGCTCAAATTTCAATATATCCTTTCATCATTATTTGAGCCAACATGTCATGCGGTCTGGTAAGGGCTTTTGTACAGCCCGAGACACGTGTTTCGTCCTTACAAACTCAACAGCCGGGCAGAGCGCGTCGTCTTTCGATGTCATCGACGACGAAGGCTCAACACTCCATGTCAAGTGAAACCTTCACCCAACCCAGAGTGTCGTGCACTCGATTGCTCATTGGCTGGTAATTTTAACATAATTATACCTTTATCTCGAGTGCTTTGTTTAGACCACGCTCAAATTTCAATATATCCTTTCATCATTATTTGAGCCAACCTGTCATGTGGTCTGGTAAGGGCTCTTGTACAGCCCTATACACGTATTTCGTCCTTACAGACTCATCAGCCGGGCAGAACGCGTCGTCTTTCGATCTTTTTATAGTCATTCTCTCGGGAGCCTTACACTCCTTATAGAGAGTCATCGACGACGAAGGCTCAACACTCCATGTCAAGTGAAACCTTCACCCAACCCAGAGTGTTGTGCACTCGATTGCTCATTGGCTGGTACTTTAACATAATTATACCTTTATTTCGAGTGCTTTGTTTAGACCACGCTCAAATTTCAATATATCCTTTCATTACGGTTAGTATTAGGTCTTTTCATTTCTGGTGCTAGAGTTTTAAACACCGAATACACATTTCTGCCATTTCTCTGGCAACAAATCAATGCCGTTTTCGTGGAGCTCGTCGGCCTCGGATTCGAAAAATGTTGTCAATTCTTGACGCAAATCTTTGATGTCTCGGAACTTCTTGTTGCTCAGGAAGTGCTCCAGCGGCCGGAAGAGGTGATAGTCAGGTGGCGACAAGTCAGCGCTATACGGCAAATGATCCAGCAACTTCTAGCTTAGTTCTGTCAACTCCCCCTTTGTCGATATGGCGACATGCAGCTTTGCGTTGTCTTCAAGCAGGATGAGATCGCGGAGACGTCAGCGTGGCAGGGCCCGATCGCAGAGGTCGAGGTGTTTACAGTAGTGCTGGGCGTTGATCGTCTCTTCGGCTATCAACAAGCCCCAATGAACTGACCCGGACCGGTCTCAGAAGCCGTTGAGTATAGCCTTTAGCGTGACTCGACGCGAATTGCTGTAATGCCAAAACTTATGGGAAGACCTAGTAATAATTCGTCATGAATAATAAATATTAATGGTGGTTGTAACATTTCTCCGCTTTGAAAATGATGTCGTCTTTATATAACAAAGCTTCGGTCAGACAGAAGGTATGCTGGGAGGCTTTGATAACACCTTCGATAGTCGTTGACCCTCATTAAATTTTACAAAGCTGATATTCATAGAGAGCGGATTAGTTTCGTGTATCCCTTACATGGTTAACGAAATGATCATCGTCGAATGCTTTGATTACTTCTGTGCTGACGGAGAAATCAACATGATGAATGACTTAGCTCCTGAATTGAGCAGTAGGAAGTACACAGCTCTCGGAGCTTGCAAGAGTTTCGAGGATGTAGTGAAACGGTCTGGGAACACTCGAATCCTTGATCACTTCTTCGGTTTTACAATTCCTGCTACTTCAATGTACGCGTCGAGAACCTGGTCGCTACGTAAGCCGTATGGAGGATCACTTACGTTATCAGACATGAGAAGGAGATGGTGGGAGTATCCGGCATCAGGAAAGTAAGAAGGTTCGAAGTCTCGACCCATATTTATGAGTAGTAACTTACATGGATTGCGTGAGAACAACAACCGATGAACAAATTTTTTTCCGGATGTCAACCACATTCCTGGAAGACCATCCTCTCCCCCTTTCATGGTCAGAGTTTTTCACGGAAACCGTAGAGATTTGTGAACTTCGGCGAGTCACTGGATGAGCCCAATGGACGATTCTTGTACACGACAGGGACAGATTAGGGTTTAGTGTAGCCCACGCGACGTTTAGCAGGACAACAGATAAGATAAGGTGAGCATTGAAAATAATATAATACTAGCGTGATTCAGTGTCCTCAGCCCTTCGCGGACGTTGAGGGTTATTGTGGCCCTCGGATTTCCGAAGTTCTTTTTTTCGCTAGACAAAGCTTTTTATCCGGAATTTGAGTAAACTTTCAAAAGCTTAAATCTCGGCAATTCCGACACCTTGCTTGATTTTCAAAAATATCTTTGCAGTGCGCTGTAGCAGCATGAGTAAAACCACGTTGCATTTTCAGTTTTATTCATTTATTCAGTTACTTTAATTGCTCGGATAAGCTGTGTGGATCGCTTTTCACTCGACTACATTAAGCTCATTCGATAGCCCAAATCTCGACGATTTTGGAGCTTTAACTGGTTCTTGAAAAGGTTTTTATAGCACGCTGTGAGAGCGAAAACAATATCACATTTCACATTTGAAGTTTTCTTTGCACACAGGAGTTAAGTATGCACAAAAAGTATACAGTCTTTTAGAGAAAATCATGTTCCATCAGAATGGGACAGAGAAGTTAACCTATATTTTGAAAGAGTAAAAAAATCTGTTGAAAAGCATTGGAGATGTCGTGTATGCTGCCGTCCGCAAATGGTTAATATTGCCATCAGAACTGGCGTTGCTGCATCGATGTCTATTCCTGTATTCCCCTGATTTAGTGATATTTTCACCTAATGGTACGTGTAGAATGTTCTTCGTCGTCAACTCTATGTCGGGGTTGGGTTCCCACTAGAGGATTGATTAAAGACAAAGAGTATGCTTGACTGACGAGGCTGTCAAGGGCGAAACACGTGCATCGGGCTCTATAAGTTCCCCTATAACAGACCACATGCATGGCTCAAAAATTGACCATCAGGCACATTGGAAGGTGAGCGTGTCCTTAGGGATACACTTGAAAGGAAAGGCATGTTATCATATCTATGATCCATTTCCGTGTTGGGTTAAGCGTCGTGAATGAAAGCGGGTGTATAAATCGTCGTAGAATTGGTTAAAGAATGTAAGGATAGGAGAGATATTTCCATTTGATCCATAAATAAGCTGTTACCTCGCAAGTCTTGCGGCAAGATTTCGTCGGTCTGTGTGATCCAAGTTGGATTCCTTGGTGGTCAGAGGATGTTTCAGATGATTACATTTTAAGGACATTAACTTCGCGCCGTTGGATTTAGTATTTTTTTTGGGTAAGCGGGTCATAAATCGGGTTTGTGAACAATGGAAAGCGTCTTTTTCTAGTAACCGACAGGACATGTTTTGACCAGGTTTTTCGCAGCAATGGCCAATATTTCAACCTGCAAGGTAGATTCGCCGCCAGTCATGTCAGTCTGTAGGTATCTTCTACTACTACCAAATCGTATTTTGATCTTATATCCACGTGTGAAACTCTAACTGTTCCAAGATTTCCATTGTTTCAGTGCTTTTCCGCAGTGTTATGATGTTTCGAATGTACCTAAGGGAATTGAGTGGTGATCAAAAATTCGACCTCAGGCGGAAGTTGAACCCACGTTTCACCCGTGCGGGGGGCGAGTGCTACCACTACACGACCGAGGTACATTTGCTCCGCTACTCTTTCTTTAATATCTCTACGATAGCTATAAGGATATGACATGTTTTGAGCCGATAGGTCTAGTGCTATATAGGCGCCTATTTCGTCCTATTGGGACTCATCAGTAGCACCCTTCCTCGGTTCCGTCGATCTCTTGAGGTTAAATAATCCTCTAAAGGAATCGACGCCGAGTAAAAAAAGCACCCAAGGTAGGATAATGATATTACCTGACTTTGTGGTGACCGGCAGTCGTGCTTGCCCTGTATAGCACTAGACTATCGGCTCAAAACATGTCATGTCCTTATCAGATTGAATCGTTTTGAGCGGGTCTGTAAAAGAGCGGTCGATAGCAGAGGTATGGTTCTACGATACCTGTCAACCACCACCGTTCAACAGGTTGGGCACACGCCCCCGGTATGTGAACGCGAGTTCAACTCCCGCCTAAGGGCATTTTTTGCTCACCACTCAATATTCTTAAGACCGTTCTAACTGTCGATAATTCCTTCTCATATCGCTGAGTCTTCATTTTTTTTTTTGTTCTTGCAATCAATTAATGCCAACTTGTTTCATCAGTTTTTTTTCCATTTTTTTCCTAGTGACGTAAGTGCTCCAGTAAGCAATGCTAGTGGAAAATCTTTTCACACGATAGTAGCACATATCTCTCAAATTTACTCTAATAGGTAATTGTCGATTCTCCAGATGGTTTACCACCTCATCTTTGCTGGGAGATTTCTTGGGTGTCGGACTGAGCAGTGCAGCAGGTATTCAAACCCAAGCATGGCCACCCAAACTAAGAAAGTCCAACGTTTCAACCGCAGATCTCAGCTAGCCGTAAATCATACCAGGAATGATCACCGTCTTGGTAGCTATTAATCGCAAGATGGTATCCCCCTTTCATCCACAAAGGCTGGCGACTGCTTTAATGTGGTGACGACCTGAGGAAGTCGCGGCTAGGCTCACGTCGAGACTTTAGGAAGGAAAAACGGCTATCCAACACATTTTCATGTGCTGAGGTCCGCACAATTCGTGGACACGAACTGTTCAGGTGTGCAAGTAAGTAATTTCTAATCAGGGTATATGATTCATGGATGCTAAGTGCTATGCAAAGCATTCTACCTTAGGAGTTGGACCGGCGTTTCATTTTTAGAGGGGGGGGGGGAGCTTGCTACCATTGCATCACAGAAGTCACCGACTTGTAACCACCCTTTCTCCGATATGATTCATATAGAATTTTACTTATTTTGATTCATCCAATAGCTGTCAGCTTAACTCGGTTCCATACCGATTTGAGCTTTTAAGACCGAACCCGCCAACATGTTGATTAACAGCTGTGATTTTTAAATCGAAGAAAGAGTGATAGCAGAACGGTGGCCTCGGTGGTATGGTAATAGTCCCCGTAGGGGTGAATCGCGAGTTCGATTCCCACGTATAGTTGGATGTTTTGCATATCACTTGGCATCTTTGTATATGCAGATGTGGCGTCGTAAAGACGCTCTAAGAACGGCAAAGTAGTAAAAATAATTCTACTAAAGTTTGCCAGTTCCATTCCCCGTCCTTAAACTAAGCCTGTTAACTGTTTGTATCATGAACACAAAGGTTTGTCGTCGTTCATGCTATAATATTTCCAACTCTAGTGATCTACAGTGACTTCTGTTGCTTCTCCTTTTTCCTTTTTAAATGTTTGTGCCTTGTATCTTTCGTTTATATAGGGTTCCTATTCTGGAGTCTAATCAGAGCAATGGTAGTTTCACTGAACCATCCTCAAATTAGGTTTGCTAACCCTGTCGGTACATGGGTGAGGTTTATTGTTTTTGTTGAGATCATCTCAGTTTCATTTCAGTTAGAGTGACTCAGCTCTTTTATGATTGTTTTTGTTTGAAATGTTTGCCGTTCGTGAGCATCTCTCTCGTTCGTAGGGGTTTGTGTCTTCTACCGTAATCTGTCTATGCAACGTGTATTAGTAGCACACGTTATATTATCTATCGATGACGCATGTTTGCATTCAATTTTTGTTTTCGTCATTGACTGGTGGTGTTTCCGTTTTTCAGAGTGGTGTTCCTCTGTACTCACGATGGGTGACGATCCTTGCGAATGTCTTTTCAATCATGAAGCGGCTATGAGAAGATTGTTATCACTGGTACGTAAGATTTTATGCATGTAACTTCTTTATGGAATTCATATAGTTTTACAGAAAAAAAACAGGTGGTACATCTGAGTTCCACCAGCTGGTTAAAGAAGGATAAAGCGCTCGGCGTTGAACTCCTGAGGGATGCGCCATGCATTTGTCCTCATCTAGCATTGTCTGAGGTGACTGGATGCATATCTGGCCTTTACAACGACTCACAGTGGCTTGCCGATGTGTCAAGTCATTGCTTCTATCGTTCCAAATAAATCTGGTTCAAACTTGCCGACCCTCGAGGAATGGGGGCTTGCTGAGCTATGAGCACAGGATTCGAACCATCGACCGTCGTAGCAGGGCGCCTCTAACCACTCACGCGCCCTCTTCAAATGGGCAGTTGATACGTCTGTAAAACCTTGGGAAAAGCAAAATCAAAGCAGCCACTTGTTGTTAGTGAAATTTATCGCCTCAAATCAATTACTGACTGAAAAACAAAGCTTTTCAGCTACGTGATACTCAGGACTATTGTACAGATTCGGAATGTATTACTGATGGAGGACCAAGTGCGATCGCTAGCAACTCTCTTCTGCTCTGGACTATGCTATGGGGTTTTCTAGCTCTGATTCTATTCTTTCTGCGTCCGAACTCTATGCGATCGAACCCACAAGGCCTTGGAAAACCGGGACCAAGCAATGATCACGTGAGAATTCTTACGTTATCCGAACGAGATTGTATATTCTACTTCAGTATAGTTATAAGTAATTCAGAACAACCAGCCACCTGCACCAGGAGTTATGTAATGAAATAATGATACCGACATGAGTACGTCCACTATATGCGCTCGATTTCACAAACATTCGATGTGTACACATATTGTAAATATAGTATCCGTCTTCCAAGATGCCTTTTTCATTTCAGCTGTATCAATTGGGACAACACTTGTTTCCGTAATGTCTACTGGTCTGATCCCCCGGTATAGCGATCAAATAAATCGTATATATCGGATCGTATGATTGGTTACATACTTTTTCTTCTCCTCTCTTCTCTCCCTTTTGCTTCTCGCATCACTGTTTTTGTCATAAATTTTGGCGTAGATCACCGTTTGTCATTTCTGTATCTAGATAATTTCTAACTTACCGCGGCTAGCCTAGCTATGAATGTGATTCGCTAGATATTTCTCGATTTCCTTGAAAAACTTTTATTTTTGGTACAGTAAATCTTTGAGGGTGAACCACGTTTACTATGCATCAAATCCATCAATCATTACATAACTTCATCATAACAGAAAGTGAGAAAGTGTAACGACTACCCGATCCACGATATCAATATCAAAAAAAAAGAGAAATTCTGAGAGATAAACGTGGATATTCCACGCATTCCAAAGGGAACAAGAACACGCAAAATCACATAAAATACGGGCTCACGACTTTATCTGGAACTTCGCGACGATCTTCTGGTACTGCTGCGAATTGTTTGACATCTCGAGTCCCATCTTCAGATATTGAGAGGACACTGGCCCAGTTAGCACATCGATAACAGTAGTTGGGCGCTAAAGATAAATACAATTGTTTTAGTCTTTTGATGACCAACGTTGACAGACAGGGCGCCGTCGATTTCCCACAAGACCTGACGCTGCCATTCCCCCTTTGGGTGGGATTAGACTTCGCGCGGTGAGAAGCAGAATGACTCTCATGGTCCTTAAAGGGCCAATTATCTGATGAAAGGTTGGTGGCTGAGTATCTTCACAACAAACTCAGTAATTTCTCTGAGTTTCTACACCAATCAAGTATACGTTGAACTTAACCGACCGCGCAAAAGCCTAAGGTTGATCATGATAATGATAAATTTGCATTCCCAAGGGGTCGACCGATTTCCTAACGCGTAATGGACGACGTGCATTGTATACAATCACACATAGTCAAAAGCACTAGTACGGTTACTTCGAACACATATCTCTAAAATCATAGTGGATTTCAATGGTCAAGAGCAAACCCATGAGACGCATAACCTCGTCCCATATCCCAGATTTACTTGATCCTAAAATATCCTCACACATACTCTGTGCAGCTGGTTCCCACAATACTTAGAAAAATCAGAAGGAATAAGGCGGTCATTATTCAAAGAATGCTGTTTCGAGTGCGGGGTTTTCTTTTAATCCAATAAATTGTGTGTCAATTTGATCTGTAAAGGCTCTTGAGTTCTGCTGAAACGTCAGCAATTGTTGAACAATTTCGTGCCTGCTCAGAAAAAAAAACCAAACCCTCTAAATCCCCTCCACAAAAAATGCACAATGAATTCGGCAGGAGAGGAGTCGGATTTCTCAAGCCAGTAGGATGTGTTTTCTTCGTTTTTTTTTTCTCGATGCTACTTTTAGGATATCGAGGTGACTCTACACTCTGAAATTCGGGTACCATGTCAAGGCGGTGCCGTCAATGCAGTTAGTGGCTGTGACGATTCCTCTAATAACTTGGGAATTTGGAACAAAGACTCGCCCCGATTCTCTATAGATTCACGCCTCAAACAGATCTGATCAAGGAATAGCTTCTGAAAACCAGTTATATCCTAAACCATTATGCTAAGGATTCTTTGTGAAATTATCAATCTCTCAAATCCTCAATCACTTCTGATGTGTGAAAACTATCAATAGTGCCAACGCCGAGCACGTCTCTCTTATCCCACGCCATTTCAATGACAGTTGCCTCAACTTCCAAAATGTTACTAATGCATTTCTTTTATTGTCAAAACGACCTTCTGTTGACACTGGACGACAAACATATCTGCAAACGTGATTGTTCGCGGCCACAGCCGCATGGGAGAGACCAACAATAATCGAGGATGGTGATGGCAATGTTGATAACTATGCCGTGTCCAATGACTTCCGTTGTG